AATCATTTTTTTAACAAAGTAAAATAATGTTAAAAAAGAATTTATTATACTTTACATAATTTTTAAAAAATGTTAAATATTACACGAGACTTTTGAGCAACTAGTCTTAAGTTTAGAAAAAAAGAACAGTCAAAATTTATATGAATTATTAATTATATCTTTATTATTATTAATTATAATAATATACAGGATGTATTACATTTTGTTTTAAACAGTCAAATATTTGAATAAACATGACTTTAAAAATTTGATTTAAAAAAAATTGATTTTACTTTTATTAATACGTCCTTCCAATTCTTTCTTTTCTTATAATTTTTAACTGAAAAATTGTTTTAAAGATATGGACAAATCTTTCAGATAAAAGTTGAGTTGATAAGACTTGAAAGGACATAAATAACAATAAAAGCAATTTTCAAAAAAAATCAAATTTTCGAGATCATAGGAAGATTATCACCATTTCTTAAATAATAATTTTAAATGGAATTATATGAGTTTTTACTATTATTTGCGTCATGCTGTACAACTTTTGTCTAAAACATTTTTCCATATCTTTCGTATATTTGACTGCTTAAAATAAAATGAAGTATTCTCCAACAGCACAAAAGTTGCAGCAATATTGTTGTAACAGTATATATATTTAATATAAAATATATCAATATATGTAATAGAAGAAAATTACGATACATCTCCTAAAGCGACACCCCTTATTTTTCAGAAACTAACTATTACATTTTATTAATAGTAATAAAATCATGATCTATTTAGCTAATTAAAGAAGTCAAACTCATAATTTGTATATTTATGGCTTGTTTTTATACGAATCAGCTAAAAACGAATTCTACGAATGCGAAAATGAAATTCTTACGATTTTCTTTTGCAAATTGCAATAGTTCAAATAAATAGTGACTATATTATTGATAATATTACGTCATTTTAAATGCTTGTAGTTTCCTGAATGAGTTTCATTTATGTTATTCTTTCTTAGTTTCTTCGTAATATGATTTTAAATTTAAAATTGGAGTGCAGCCACACACTTGTCTGTAAAACAGATCGTAGCTAACTTAATCTTTATAATGTTGCTTTATAGTGTCAAATAGCTGTATTGGAGCTGAAGGCAATTGTGTATGGGAAAACTCTTAAAAAATCGTTTAAACTATCGCGTTACATATTTGCATCTTGCAGAACAGCATAAAGTAAATATGCACATAATCCAATAAAAATCTTATATATATTCATTTGTACATACTTTATACACATTATTCCTATAAAAAGAAAAGAATAGGAATACATGTCATTACTGTGTCAGTTTTGGAGCCTATTTGGTCAGACGCTCATTTTTACTTATCTTATGAAAAAATTAATTATTGCAAAATTGGTAAACAATATATTATAAAAATTGTTTATACTATCTGATAGAAGACACTTTTTAATTTGTACTTATGTTTTTAAGTTTTATTTTTATTTTTTGTTTAAGAAATATTGTCTAAAAACAAAGTGATATGTTGATGTGTTAGCGATTTTCCTCTAATATATTTGTATAATTATAATTATGAATTATATGCCCGATAAAATATTTTTCATGCATGAATATGCATAAATATGTATAAACATACATAAATACATATAAATATTCATAAACATTTATAATTATATATGAAATATGTCCATACATGTTCATACATTTCTCTTTTATAAAATTATTTTTTAATGTAATAGAAATAATAATAGTAATGTGTAAACATAAAAAATAATTAAAGAAATAATTTTTGCATTGTTTGTTTTAGAAACAAACAAGTTTGGAAAAATATAAAAATTTGCTCGTACATATACATAATTTTATATGTAATTATACATAAATAATTTTTTACATTTCTTCAAACTTGATTTTTTTCTGAAACAAATAGTGCAAAAATTATCTTTTTAATTATTTTTAATGTTTTCACATTACTATTATTACTTCTATTATGCTAAAAAGTAATTTTACAAAAGAGAAAACTGATGATGTACATGTATGAACATATATTTCATATATAATTATATATGTTTATCAATATTTATGCGTGTTTATTTATGTATATTTATACATATTCATGTATGAAAAATTTTTTTATCGAGGTTTGTATATTCATTTCTAAAAACGTGTAATTAAGAAAAAAATCGATTTTCATTAAGAGATTATTTTTTAAAACTGTAGGAAAAATACCTTGGCTATCATGGCTTTGCGATTATCGTAAACTACAACACGATCTTTATTAATCGCATAAGCAGTGTTGCTTTCATCATCCCATCCAGTTGTCCAATTTTGTGGATGCAATATCAATGTCTCGCAAATCTATACAGGAAACGTACAATTTATTCATGAATAATTTATTTATAAACATTTTATATTATATATTTTGGATGTTAAAGAGTTCTTATGTGTAATATATATATATATGTATATATATATATATATATATATATATACATATATATATATATATATTTACTATTACTATTACAAAAAAACAGTTATACAATTATTGATTGTTTGTTAAAATCATGAGATATACGAAAAAAAAAACGTAATGGAAACAATAATTAAATATGATATGAATACATTGTTACATATCAACAGATCAATGATAACCTACTTTCTATTAAGTAAACAACATTTTATTATTTTCAACTTTTATATGTGTCAAAACATCGATTTCTGTGATTCGTTTCAAAATGAACAACGTCCATATTAACGTATGTTCAATAAGTAATAAATTTGAATCTTAATTGACATTTGTTTAGTTAAGTTGTTTAAATTCCATTCTTTTAAAATTAAATTAACGACATATTAAGTAAAAGAACATTAGCGACTTATAAAAATTAAAAATAACTCAAATTTGATATAATATAACATTATGAATTTAACAGCTTAGTGTACGTGATCAAATAGCGAAATACCTCATTGAATCCCATAAAACCTTCTTCAGACGTATAAGGTCCTTTGAATCCGGTGTCCAGACTAGGTAGGCCAATCGGATTTATTTTAGACGTTTCTGGTACAGTTGTAAGAACAAAAGTTCTCCCATACATCGCTAGCCCTAAAACTAATTTCTCGGGTGGGGCTCCTTGTTGTAACAAATACGTAATAGTATGTTCCTACACGGTAAAAATTTAATTACTGTACGATTATATAATTACGCTTCACATTATGTAATATTCGCATCAATATAAAACTAAATATTAAATAAATATAAAATTAATATAAACCAACAAAAAATTTTTATCAATGGTTTTTGTCTTAAAATTTTATTCTTAAAATTTAGAAGAAAAAGAAATGAACGATGAAATATATTCTAAAAATTATAAACAAAATTATAAAGGCAAATGATTGAAGTAATAATTTGAAAATTACTTGAAGTAATAAAGGCTCAGAGTTTCAAATGAAAGAAAATGAAATGAAAATAGTTGTGATAAGCCAACGCGGTTATTGGTACGTAAAATTTTTTTTACAATTTATTCTTTTCTAATATACATAACTTAGTAGACGTTTCGATCGTTTTTTTGGTTTTCTTCAGTACAATATAATAATAAAAAATTTTAACTGTTTTAATAATGATTTCAGTAAGCTGTAACTTTAATTTATGTTTTATTCTAGTAATTTTTATGATATCAACGTCAATTCAGCAAGAGTTACACATATATGCTTCTTGTTTTTTTCTTATTATGTAATATTCTTTTAATATTTTATTTCTCTTAAAATTTTCATCTTATAAAATAAAACGATGACTCACTAATTTATTTAGAATTATGATAAGAATTGTACAAATTTAATTAGGTATTTTATTAATTTACTTTGGAATACTTTTATAATATAAGGTAACTAGACATTACTATTGATTTTTTTATTACAATATGTCTGTGCATATATGTACATTAATATTTTTACGAATATCATATTTCTTACCACATCTAATCGATCTTTGCTTCTCAGTGGTGAATTTGGAAGAACCTGTTTGTTCCATGCTCCGTGATAATCATAGGCCATCACATGAATGTAATCAAGATATTTAGAAATTTTGGGAATATCGTATGCTATATCGATAGTAGAACTGATGGCACTTATGGCTGCGGTTAACAAAAAGCGATGTTCTCTAAAAGCATCCTTCAATTCCTATTGCAAGATAAATAATGGATTAATTTTTTATGTTAACATACAAATAATAAAATATAATGTTTCTACCTGCACGAGGCTAACAAAATTCTGTTTATCATGTGGAGCACCTCCTCGACTTCCAGGAAATTCCCAATCAAGATCCAATCCGTCAAATCCATACATTCTGTTGCAAAATTTTAATTTAAAAAAAGTTATAAAATCTAATAATATAATTGACAACACAATACAGATAAAATCAATCAAAATATAGATCAAAATTCAATTTTAATTATCGGTAGATATTGTAATGTTTAATTAAATCATAGATTGTAATCATCGCATATTATAAACTTCTTTCTGTAAAAAAGGTTTTACTTAAAGAATTGACTTTCTAATGAAAAGATAACATAAAAGAAGGATTAAGATAAATACATCACAGCGAACACACTTGAGAAACTCAACAGTACTAGCGATGAAAATCCTCCTACGATCCGGTGAAGAAGCCATTAGTGAATAATTTGTGCTGCCTTCGTTCCATCCGCCAATACCGAGCGATACTTTTAAACCTTGATTACGAAGCGTTGTCATTTTTCTGTAGTTACCTCTTCCTATATTCATCCAGATATTTCCACAAATTATGTTTATAAAACTTTAGCTTAATTAATTTCAGCTTAATATAATTCGAATTATCGAATGTATTAAATTAGTTATTAATAATTTTTTGGATGGGCGACCCTATTTGAAATCACTCTTTTTTATTTTACAATATGCTTGGTTTAACAACATTTTTATGAAACTGACTTATGCACTCACTAGAGGGTAATTACTTATAAGATAATTTAATTACGTTTTATTTGAATATAAGGTCAAAAATAAAAAATTCAAAATGATGGATCCATTAAAGGCGGAGAGAATTTAAAATAATAATTTGATTATCATAAAATATTAGGTGTTGGAATTAATTCGTAGCGTTTTTTAATGAAAGAATGTTATTTATTTTACATGAGCATTAAAAAATACATTAATGAAAGTACTTCCCATCACTTGTAAAACGCTACGAATTAATTCCAACACCTAATACGAGAGTTTCAGAGAGTTTTTAATTGTAAAGTAACAACAAAATTTTCAGTTTCACTTAATTTGAAGCTTATCTATATTATATGCAAACAATTAGTAAGGTAAATGTACTATATATATATATATATATATATATATATATTAATGGACAATTAGTAGATATAATCCAATTCGTTAGACAAAGTGGTACAAAGTTTTAAATACTAAACTTTTAATGATATGTACGCTTCTAAATAAATTTGTTTATAAAAATTTAATAACAAATTTATTTAGAATCGTACCAGTTAAAAGCTTAATATTTGAAATATTTTATACTTTGTCCAACAATTGGTTCACTAATTGTACATTTACTTTACTAATTTCTAAAATGACTTCTAAACTCTGTAACACTCTCTTTAATGAATTATTAAAGATTATTTGTTGTTTGAAATTCGATATCTTTAGGCTATAATTAAATAATATCAAGAATCTTCTAAAATTGAGTCTTTGAAAAGTTGATATTCAGATTTTTTTTTTAATTTAAATTTTAGAATTCTGAGAACACAAAATCAAATTCAGCGACTCTGCAAACTCTTAGAAAACAAGGTTTCCTTTAAGTTTCTTTGTTAGAAAGCTTCCGTCTTCAAAGAATTAATTAACAACTTTTATGGACAATTTAATGAATTATGTATTAATTATCTCTTTCCCACTCCATTTCTTTGGGTTAACATTCAATCTTTATTACAATTCGCTTAGTTTCTTTAATTATTTTGAAAAGTTTAGTTCTTAATTAGTTAACTTTCTACAATAATTCATAATTATTGTAAAATATAATTTGATATAAGTTTAATATCATATTAAGGTTGTTATTACCATCTTTTTCCATATCTGCCCAAGGATCGAGACTTCTTATCGTCCAGTCCGTAGCATTTAAACCAGCAAATGCATAAATTAAGTGGGTACAATGTTCCGAACGGAGATTTTCTAAGGAGAATGCTCCATTTCCTTGCCTATAGGCAGCCCAAGATGCAACGTAGCAAACAACGATCTTATCATGTTTCGGTCTTATGAGTCCTATAACAATATTGACATCAATATAATATAATGTAATATATTGACATTATTATATTAGGTGTTGGAATTAATTCGTAGCGTTTTTAATGAAAGAATGTTATTTATTTCACATGAGCATTAAAAAATACATTAATGAAAGTACTTCCCATCACTTGTAAAACGCTACGAATTAATTCCAACACCTAATAATTAAATTCAACAAATCAATTTTACAAACGACATTATTTTGATCCTTATTTTTCAAAAAAAATTAAATAATTTAATTTATTAATACGATTATTAATATACTTATTAATATAATTATTTTAAAGTATGAGTGTATTCATTTAGGACAGAATTAATCTGCAATAAACGTAATTATTATTGTTGCAACTAAACACAAAATTATAATTTTTGTAAGATTGCCTTTTATACGACAATCAATACGTTATATTAATAAGTATAATACAAAATCGTTAATGTGTTTTTAAATGACTATTTTAATTTAGAAAAAAATCTTTTAATCGTAGGTATTAATTTATACTCACAAATTTAAAAATTTACTTATGAAGATAATTACACTTTGTCTTTTAGAGTTTTATTGTTATTTAAAATATATTTAAATCGATTGCCAGTAAATTGCGAAAATTATATATATCCGAACACACATTCAAGAAACTAAATAAATTCTAAATAAAGAAAAATCGATACTAAATTGATTAAAAAACTCATAGATAAAGCAATAATGGAATCTATTTTCGCGACACTCTGTATATACATTCGCGAGCGAAAATGTCGCGTCCTCATTGTTCGGCGTGCCGGCTTTTACTTTCGCTTGTTAATATGTAAACGCTGGTATTATTCATATACGCTAATCGAGTATAATATTACATGACATTGTTATTGCACAAGTAAAATATACATATTAATCATAAATAGATAGACTTAGTAAAAGGTAAACTCACCGTGAACGTCGTACGTCTGTATCGTAAAAAATAAAATTGTAAGTAGAAGTGCCACGTCACTGAAGGACATCGTAGCGCGCTAAACTTCTTCGATGCGTTATATTTAATGCGTTGGATAATAATCTGGAACGTATCTCGAATTAAAAAACCATTTACAATATCATCTACTTCAAGTACAGTAAACGTCGAATCTTGTGTTTGATGCTAAATTGCGAATCGCTGATTTTTATTTCAGATTTAATGCGTCTTCCTATATCATGACTTTAATTCACTGCGTTACTTGATAAGATATACAGGTATACGATAATCGATAAAAGTTATACAAGGAATAAATTCCTAACGTTAGCGATGCTTATCAAATCGTTTTTTATATCACTCGCGATAACAGTGATAGCGAAAGTTTCGTATTCTTTTTGTATATATTGTAGTAGACACTAAATGACATTAATTGTTTTGTAACAAATGGCGTTTATTAATCATCCCGATATCGGCGATTACACAATTAATACAGTATACCGATTCGTTTGACTGCAGTCTGTAGACTGTTGGACCCCAGATATGCGCGCATCAACCAGGCCCAGATCACTTTCACTCGTAACTGTTCATTCTCGAGAGACGAAGAGAACGACCGCAAGAAGGATACACTTAGAACCTGTTGTATTATTGCCGGAAATTTGCTTTGTCCTTCGTGCGGATTCTCATTCGATTTTCTGATATAAATAACATAATATTATCTGCGCATTACTTTATGCGTGAGCATGTGCTTTATAAATAGAACAACGTACAGTCAGTACATTGTCTAAAAAAGGAAAAAGAAGAAGGCGGAGAAAAAGCAGAAGAAGGAGAAGGAGAAGGAAGGAGAGAAAAATGAAGTGAAGAAAAAATAATAAAAGAACACAAGATTTAAATAAAAAGGAAATGGGAATGCAAGAAATCAAGCAAAAGGAAATAGGAAAAAGAAAAGGGAAATTAAAAGATCAGAAAAAGGATCAGAAGAAGAAGGGACGATGGGAATATAGAAAGAGAGTAAATTTGAAAATGTAAAACGATGGCGCTTATTGCTGTGTATTGAGATACGAATATCCTCCCATTGTATTAAGATAACATATCAAAAAGAGTACAGGAAATGGAAATAGAATGTTTCCTTTTATTAACAGCAGGATATTAAACTGATAATAATATATAATGATAATAATAACATGAAAACTCTCTTTTTATTCCATTAAATAATAGATTTTAAAATAATAGCTTCTATAATAAATAATAGATTCTAAAAAAATTTTGTAAGATGGCAAGAAATAATTTTTCAAAATGATTCTTCTTATTAATAACAGAAATCTTAAATTGGTATTAATAATAGCAATAAAATTTCTCTTTTAATCACAGATTCTTAAAAAATATTTTGTTCTTCGGTAAGACAATAAAAAATAATTTTCCAAAGTGTTCCTTTTGATATAGCAGAAATTTTTAATTGGTTTTAATAATGCGAACGAAATCTTTCTTTGCGAAATAATAAAATCTGAAAAAAATATTTCTTTTTGATAAAGTGGCAAGAAATAGATTTTTAAAGTACTCCTTTTATTGATAGGAATCGTAAACTGATCTTAATAATATGAACAAAATTCTTCTTTTTTTAATTAAATAATAAATTTTGAAAAGACATTTTTTAAGATGATAAATCATTTTCTAAAATCTGCAACTAAAAATTAATCATTCTTTGTATACAAACTAATAACATTTTTAATTTATATACAAGAAAAATAAATAACTTTTTAATTAAAATAGGATCTTGGTGAACATAATAATAATAATAATAATAATAATAATAATAATAATACGTTGCAGCTAAATATAAAATTGTAGCTATTGCTTGTTGTTTTATACATATACGATAATCAATACATTATATCGATAAAGTATACAGGCAGTAAGCTGCAACAAACAATTATAATATTTTGGAAAGAATATTCCGCGGCTCTATTTTGAATAATAGTTTCGTTTAACCATTGTAAATAAAAATCCACACGAGAATAAACACCCGCTGTATTCGGACGAGCACATCCTTCGCCCCAAGAGACAATACCAACTTGCGTTCCATTGCATAACAATGGTCCACCGCTGTCACCCTGAAAATTCAAAATGTTGCAGTAGAATCTGGATGTAAAAAGTAAAACTTCCGTTTAGTGTAAAAATTATTTATTAAAAGAAATGTGGACTGTTAATATGGGTCTCAATTAAATTAAAATAAAATTCTGTTATAATTAATATCATTTTTTGCAAAAAATTTTTGACTTATTCTTAATAAGTATCGAAATTGTGAAACAATTGCCGTCATGATTTTTTTAATTGGCGCGATGTTTTTACAATTGATGTTTATCTATTACGAGGTATAGCAAAGTTTTTTCGTATGATTTTCAAAGTTTTGATTTTCATTATCAAACATGGTTAAAAAGTTATAAGTAATGAGTTTATATCTTAAATTAATTCTTAAAGTATTATTCTTTTATTTTAAACAAATAAGAAAGCTTGTAGCTGTAATTTAGCTGGGACATGATTAAATATAAATTTTATCAATGTTCTATATTGGTCTCTCTAATAAGTAGGTAATGTAAGTTTAGGAATTTTTAACGAAAAATATTACAGAGCGTTATTTTTCATTAAAAATCTTTGTAATTATCATTTTAAAATAATTTTAAGAAGTCCTTAAAAATACCTGCGAAATGGAGAAAAAATACTCATGGTAAATATTCATGAGGACAGAATCAACACAAGAGTATTGTTAGAAGAACGTATTCATGAAAAGAAATTTCTGAAATTAATCTGCTAATATCTCAAAATATTTAGAATTTTCTATAAATTCAAGCTATTTAAACTTTATAAGAACCGCAAATGGACCTGAAGAAATTAGATTTTGTAAAAATAAGAAAAGGAAACCACTTTTGCTATTAAAATTACATTAGACTTGAATATAATTAAAAACAAAAAATAAAATGAAGATCCACATTACTCCTTTTTTCTAGTTATTAATTTAATTATTATTTTTTTCCAAAAAAAGATAAGGCCTGATAAAGACGTGTTGTTGTTTAATCATTTCCAAGGAAAGATGTCCCACCTAATACGAGCATCTGAAATATCTCGCTCATTTTTGATGATATGAAAAAATGTTTCAGATGAAAGTAGAAGGGTTTCAAAGGGGACGTATTTTGGTCATGTTGTCTTTCTTCTAGGTGGAGGCGTCAAAAAGATATAAAGGTTACCTCTACTTTTTTAAGCGGAATAGTTTTTTTTTTACACAATAAGATTTCTCTAATTATTTTGTTATTACATAAAAATATTAAGGTAGTGATATCAAAAAGCCAATAGTTTACGAGATATTTTATACTTTATTTTGTCACATGTTGACATAAAATATTTAATATCTCGTAAACTATTAATTTTTTGATAATCATATCTTAATACTTTCATGAATAGAATAATGAGGTGAATCAATTGGTAAAATGAAAACACATATTTGCTTATTTAAAAAATTATCCATTTTGCATACAAATTTTTTTAAAGCAATTATGTATTTTTATTCCACCAATTGATTCATCTCATTATTCTGTTCATAAAGGTACAATTATAAAAAAATTAACAGTTTACGAGATATTTAATATTTTATATTAACATGTGACAGAATAAAATATGAAATATCTGGTAAACTTTTTGACGCTTCTACCTAGTAAAAAAAAAACAACTTGACCGAAATATATTCCCCCTTGAAACCATTCTACTTTCATCTGAAATTTTTTCGTATCACCAAAAATAAGCGAGTTATTTCAAATACTCGAGTTAGGTGGAATACCCTATATATGTACGTATATTTTTATATATATATATACATACCTATATTGTATATCTATATAAGTATATATGTATGTGTTTGTGTGTGTGTGTGTATATATATATATATATATATATATATATAGATATACAAAATTTAATGCAAACCTGACAGGCGTCGCGACCACCTTCCAATACACCCGCGCATAATTGCTTTTCTTTGTGCACTTGCGGCATAGGACATTTGTCAGGCGAGATTAATGGAATTCGAACGTGTCGCAAATACGTACCACTTCCTTGCTAACAATGAGTCACGAGAAAATTAAAGAAATATGTTATTCATTGGTCAACTAACTTCTTGTATTTCTTCTTAAATTTTATTAAATTGTGCCATGTTTTCAAAGTAAATTATTAATTTAAATAAATTTCTTTTTTAAAGAAAAACGCGATAAGAGATTCTAAAATAAACTAATAAAGAATAGATATTAAAGAATAACTGATGAAGATTAAATATATCGGAAAAAGTTTGCTTTAAACGGAATTTAAAATTGTTCTATCATTATTTCATGATAGATCAAACCCTTTATAATGCTAGAAAAAAGAGTTTGTATATCCATTTTTTATTGGTTTTCATTCACAAAAAAAAAAGAAAAAAAAATGCAAGATATTTCTTCCATCGGAATATATTATCCTCATTTATATGCCGTATTTATTATTTAATAAAACGCTTTGTAAACTTGCTTACGTTTGAATCGGGTATATGTCGACCCCATCCAATCGCGACACACTCTTCCGTGTATTTCTGGAATATATTCGTGATTTCCAGCGGAAGCGTAGCATATTGGACGTACGCGTTTCTGTAAAGAGGTCTCTTCAGCTGTAAAAGCGGGGCATGTATGACAGTGCAAGGCCGTGGCACTCACAGTGATTACAAGGTTTGCTCTTTTTATTATCGACACAAAATTATATACACGGCATAAACAGTCACCCTGAACAATCCAATATCATTTCGCATGTCCGAGAATCGAAACTCTGCGTGCGGCAATGTCTTGTCTACCAATTCCACTTGCATGGAACCCCAACTTGGTAAATACACGTAGGTCGCGCCGGCTATCACATAGAAATGGCGTGGATTTTCCGCTGCCCACGTGCCGTCGAGAAACCGTCTTTAAACAACGACGAGTTAATTATACACCTTGGTTTTTTTTTCACCTAAACAACGGAGCGATGTGAGGAAAAGTGGAACGCGATCAGACGTGAAACGTAATGACAGAACACTTTTCTTATTGAACAATATCGTTGGGTTCAATGATTTTAGTTTGTATGTGTTGAATATATAATAATTATAGAGAGAAAATATTAAGAATTTTGGGATATGTGTAATTCACAAAATTATGAAATTTTTTTAGAGAGTATCTCTTTTTTTGTAAGCGAAGTATGAAGAAACAAAATCTACATTAATTTTGTATAACAAATAAATTAGAAAGTTAAATTTTTGATAAAATACAGACAAATGAATAACAAATAATTGAGTGTTAAATTATTTTTTACGAATCTATTCTTGTATCAACTAAAGAAAGATAGTGTAATTAAAATTTATTGCATAAAATTGGTGTTTGATTACGAAAGAGAAGGTATATCGGAAATATTTATTAAAGTCATGTTTTAATGTAATTATTAACTTTCTTCCAATTTGTCTCGTTCCCTTTAAATCACTCGTTCTTTTAATATTTTATGTAGCTGTCGTATAAACGAACGTACTGATTGCGCCCCAATTTCCTCTACGTACAATCACGAGCGGCTGAGCTGACACGTAAAACAGAAACTACGTTCACGCGAGTAGTAGTACATCTCATCGCTAGTACACAGCTAATCGATACACAGATAGATACCGCGACAGATATCATTGCCTTAGGATCTAGCGCCGCTAACCTTCTCGTTACTCGTGAAATATATACGCTAGACAGCACATCACTACTCACAATCAAAAACAAATAAGATATACATACAATTAGAGGGGATGAACGGGACGGAAGGGACGA